CGTCCGTCGCCCGCCTCGGCTCGGCTCGCGCCTCCGGCCCCGGGCTCGAGGCGCGGGGTCTGCGCGCGGCGGGGGCTGCGGAGGAGCCCGAGCGCCCAGCGGTGCGGGGACGTGCGGCGGCGGCGAGACCGAGCCGCGCCGCGTGCGAGGCAAAGCCGTCCTTATACTGACACCAAATGTCTTCGGGGAAAGCTGCAGGCGCGGGACGCTGGAGGGGGGAGGCGTGGAGGCGACAGACAGACTCCCGGCGGCGGCTCGGTGAGCTCCCACCCCTCCCCGGAGGGGCAGGACGCCCCGAGCCTGGCGGCCACCCCCTTAAAATTCGGGGTCGTGCCTGGGGGGAGGGTCCTATCATGGGGGCTGCGTCATGCGTAAAAAGGGAGGGACCCCATTACTGACCACCCTCGTGTCCCAGGTGCCTGCTTGGCCACGTAACACTTCGGATTCTCACCGAGCTACTGGGAGATTGGGGGAGAGGGGCGCCCCCACCGCCCAAGAGAGGCGCTGCCCATCTGAAGCCACCGGTTCTTAAATGGTGGAGCAGGCGACGATTCAACTCCAAAGGTGGCTCCTCTGCCCGGCCAGCTTCCCGCTTCTCATCCACATCTGTGCTTCCTTCCAACCTTCAGGGCTTGACTGAGAGGCCACCGCCTCCAGGAAGGCTTCTGAGAGGGCTCCGAAGTAGAACAGACTCTTCTTTCTCCAGCTACAAATGCCCCTAGCCTCTCCACTTCCCCTGGGCAGCCTGCGCCACAGGAGCCTGAGGGATGAGAGGCTCTCAACTCAGCCCTCTCCACCCCTACCTCCTCTCCTTGGAAAATGGGGGCTCAGGGAGGGGAGATGGTTCCTGCACTGGGCTGAGCCTGGGGATGGTTGCGGATACTGAGGTCTGTTCTGGGGCCATCTGCTCTGCAGATGGGCAGAGCTGTGGAGGAAGGAGCACTCATGTTTGATCCTGGTTCTGTGGCTTCCAGCCTGAGGACCTTGGGCAAGTCCTTTAAAGTCTCTGAGCCTCAGATTCCTCATCTGTGAAATGGAAATAAAAGTTCACACCTTGCAGAATGAGAACAGTCTAGAAAGGGCTTAGCACCATCGTGCCTGGCAAATAATAGGTGCTCAACAAATATTCAACCCTTCTTACCCTTAAATCTGTCCAGGGAGGGGCACCTGGGTGGCTCAGTCGCTTAAGCATCCGCCTTCGGCTCAGGTCACGATCCCGTGGTTCAAGAGTTCAAGTCCTGCGTCCGGCTCTGTGCTGACAACTAAGAGCCTGGAGCTGCTTCAGATTCTGTCTCTCTCTCTCTCTCTCTCTGCCCCTCCCCTGCTCATGTTCTGTCTCTCTCAAAAATAAATAAACATTAAATTTAAAAAAAAAATCTGTCCAGGGAGACAAGACAAACCTTTGTCACCAGACCACAATGGAAGGTCATGTAAGCACACCTAGGCTAGGAGGTATCTCGAGATATGAAGTAAGCTGGCCACCAGGTGTCCATTTGTGGAGTGGGTTTATTTCAGAAGGGAGTGGGCTTCAGATCAGGAGTTTTCAACGGACGGCCTCACCAAAGGCAAGAGGCCCGCACCTCGCTTTAAATGCTCCTGTGGGATTGAGATACGAGGAGAGGTGATGGGTGTAGAAATGGCCTCGAGGAGGAAGACAGGACATAAGCCAAGGCATGGAAGCAGAAATAAGGTGGCTGGGGCAGGCACTCCATGCCCTGACCGGCTGCGGGCTCAGCTGGAAAGCCCCAGGCCCAGGAGAGTGACAGCAATCAGACAGGAAGTCAGGGAGAAGCCACCAGACACTGCTCACTTTCTCTCCGGTGTCCTCTGGCAACATTTTCATGAAGTTCAAAAGACTGGACAGGACCTTGAGAAGCCACCAGATAGCGAATTCTCAGGACTGGGTCTTTTCGGCTCCAAAGCGGCCACCCGGCCCCTGCTTGCATCCCTGGGGTGACGCCGACCTCACCACTCCTCTGGGCTGCTGTTTTGCTCTCTGAGCATCTCTGATCATTCAAAGTTCTTTTTCATACGTAAGCAGAAATTTGCCTCCCTCCACGGTTCTAGTGCATTCCCCATCCCAGCAGGACTAATTACCCCCTCCCCAGCCACCCTCAAGCATCCACACTGGCGAGAGGTACTGTTTATGTCCACCCTCAATACTTTATGCTTTCATTACCCATTCTTCCTTTCTTCTGCCCTTAGCACAGGGGTGGGCTCTGTGCACAGGGAGGCCGCAGAGGGTCATAGAAGAAGTGGGGATACGGGGCGACCCTTGAACCTACTGGGGGATGGGGTTGCAACTCCAGGTCTCGGCAAGAGGCAAGGCTGCGGCAGTCCCTCCCAGAGGCCTTCGCTGGCTGCGGGAGCTTCATTTATTCATTATTGCTATTTATATTGTGCCTGGTATTTGCAGAAGGCTGTAGCAGCCGCACACAGTCATTAGGCCCTGCCATGCCCTGGGAACGGGGGCCTACCAGCAGGTAAGTGAGATGGACCCTGGCCCGGAGTCCCCTCGGTACACCTGCCTGAGCTGACAGCCGGGCCAGGCTCCCTCTCCACTCCCCCAGGAACCAAAGCCCAACCAGGCCCCCCACTCCCTACTCCCAGAGCATCCCAGGCTCACTCCTGTCCCCTAGAGAACTTTCTAGCAATTGAAGTGGCTAGAAGGGTAAGGAGAATCTATTAATGGGGATAAGCAAGCTGGGGCTGAAGGAAACTGGGGCGGAACTCCTGCTCCAGGACATGAGACGGAGTCCCTTCCAGAACTAAAGATCCTAAGCACACAGAGATAAAGATTCCAATACCCTTGAAATCCACACTGATTTATTTCCCAAACACAAAGCATTTATCTGCGCCAGGCCCCCATTTAAGCCCTTGACAAATATTAATGCATTTAATCCTTTCCACAATCTTGTAAATCGTCACTACCGTTTTTTACAGAGGAGGAGCCGTTGGCACAGAGAAGCTAGGTAACTTGCTCAAGATCACACAGCTAATAAATGGCAAAGCTGGTATTTGAATTCAGGGCGTCTGGCTCCGGAATCTGTGCTCTTAACTAGGATTCTGGATTCCGAGATTCAAAAACTCTGAGAGTTAAAGTTTCCAGGATCCCACACTGGCAAAGTGGCCCCCACCTACCAGAGCAGAACCTGGCCCATGATACCCTCACATAGGCCGCCCTGTCCCCCTTTAGAACACATTCCCCCTGGGGCATGGGAAGGGACTGCTCTCAGCGCCAAGCAGCATCCTGAACACCTAAGAATCAGGCCCCGGGAGCAGCCCACTGTGATAGGAAAAAACCAATGGCCAAAAATGAACTTCAACATCCCGAAAGCCTTCATTAAGCATCTACTGGGTACCAGGCCTCTGCCAGGGCCAGAGCATGTTATGCGATGAAAGGTCTGGAAATGCTGTGGGTGACACAGGGAGGGACTTGGAGGGTGGGCCAAGAGGATACAGAGGAATGGGTTCTGAGAGGCCAAGGTGCCCTCCAAGCCCAGTCTAGGGGTTAAGGCTGGATCAGTAGAGGAAGTTTCAGAAAGTGTGGAGCGTGAAGGGAGAGAAAAGGAGGGAGAGCAAAACGGAGGAGACAGGGTCACGTGGAGGGGGAGCACCCCCAGAGAGTCATGGAGGACCCGATGTGAGTAGCTTGTGTGGCTGTGGCACCGGTTCCCCTCCCTCTGCAAGTCTCCTGGAAAGTCAGCTAGATGCACACGGGCCTCGTGCAAGTGCATGTCTGGTGTGTGTGGATGTCAAGTCGGAGCTGACATGGCTGACCGGGCCTGGGACCAGCCAATCCATCCCCCAATGGGACTAAGCTGGCAGGAGGTCAAAGCCAGAGAGGACCAGGAGGATGCTAGCATCCCCCACCCTCCCTGGGGTCACTGTGGCCACAGGACTCCTGCCCAGGCAGGAAGGGTGAGGTTGTGGCATTTTACCTAGATAAGGAGCAGGGGGATCCCTCCTCCCCACTGACAGGTGCCCATTTACTCCGTTAGCCCACTTAACCCTGGCAACAGTTCTGGGTGAGAGGTATCATGAAGCTCACTTTATAGATGGAAGAACGCAAATCCGGAGAAATTAAGTAAATTATCCAGGGTCACGCAGCTAACGAGTGGCAGAAGCAGGATTCCACGCCAGAGTGAGCGTGTGTATATGTGTGTGTGTGAGACAGAGACAGAGACAGAGGTCCTTCTCCCACCTGCCCAGGAAGGAGGCTGGAGACAGAGGGAGAAGGGACAGATTACAGGATCCTCAGGTTCCTGCTGGGCGGCAAGTCCCTGACTCTCAGCCAAAGGCGGCCACTGACGCCCTAGAAGCTTCTGGACGGGGTTTGAAGAATCAAGTCCGAGTGCATCTGGAAAGGACTCGATACCGCAGCAGCCTACAACCAGCAATGGTGAGGACGCAGCGGCAGTGGGTTTATTCCAGTGCGAACGCAGACAGAAGAGCAGCAGGGAACTGCCCACACCCAACCCCAGACAGAGGCACCAGGAGCCCCCCTCACACCCGACTGGTGCTTGACCAGTGGC